AAAATTAGAAAGGCAAAGTCGAAATTCGGCAGGGAACCGTTTTTGCTTCTTAACGCCTCCCCCCCCTCCTCCTTTACATCATTTTTTTATTCCATAAGATGAGAAGCTGTTATATAATGAGTAAGATCTTTACTTTTAGCACATCTCCAGGTCAGAATTTCTCATTGAGTTTTACTAATGTGTTATAAAGATGTGAAATTGCAGATTTTGGTAACATTTAAAGAAGTCTGTTTCTTGACTTACCTCAAAAATATTTCTGTTTAAGAAAAGTTTGTTTTTCTAAGGCGAGTTTGATGAACTTTAGAAATATTTTTGCTAGAACCGAGTTCTTTGCCATTTCCTAATACTTCATTGAAATGATAGAAAAAATGCTAATGCAAAAGTTGACATTTTCTGTCTCTCTCTCTTTGCATAGATAATATGGATAACACGTTTTCATCTGTCTCAATAAACTTTGTCTTATTGGATCAAGCAATTAATCGGTATATTCCCATACCTCTTCTGTTCGTTGGTGTCATTGGAAATATTTTAAATATATTAGTATTTACACATAAAACGTTTCGTAACAATATATGTGCAACTTACTTTCTGGCATCAACCATTTTTGATTCTCATGTAATCATTATCGGTCTTCTTCCTCGTTTACTGTATGGATTTGGCATTGATCCATCACAATCTTCAGTTGTACTTTGTAAAGTGAGATTTTTTATAACATATTTTGCAGGATGTACAGCTGCTTGGTTTATTAGTTTAGCTTGTGTTGAACGGTATCTGTCTTCATCAATAAGTGCTAACAGACGTAAATTGATTACAATGAAACGTGCCTATCTCTCTATGGTTGTTGTTATACTAATAGGATTTATTGTATTTGGTGAAGAATTCTATTGTATTGATATCAATCAACAGCTGCTAGGTGCACCACAATCATGTTACCAACGCCAAGCGAATGTTCAATGTCAAATTGTTGATAGTTTAATGCAATTTCTATTTGCAACCCTAACACCTGCATTGATGATGATTGTATTTGGTTTCTTGACTTTGCGAAATATTCGTCAAAAACATCGTCGTACCAATGCAGTACAAACAGCTAATACAACAATTCCAAAGGTTCCCATGACAATAGCATGTCATTTCTCTGCACAGCAACAATCAACAAACATAACAACAGACTCAAATAGCCGATCAGTTTTAACAAGAGTTAATCGAACAACACGAAAGCGTGATGCACAATTGATTACAATGTTACTCGTACAAGTAAGTGGTAGAGTGATATCGAAAAGAAGTAGATATTTTTGTGATTGTTTATTTTTATAGGTTGCTGTTTTCGTCATTTCGTCATTTCCTATCAGTGGCTATAAACTTTATGCTGCTGCAACAATCTATGAGACAAAATCTAATCTACGTAAATCAATTGAAAATACAATATTCAATATGTCTGCAATAAGTTTATTTCTTAATAATACTATTACATTTTACATCTACACTTTATGTGGTGACGTATTTCGGAAGGAATTAATGAATTGTTTCATCTAACTTAAGCAATAAACTAATTAAACAAAGCATTTTTTTAATATAGAACAAAGTTATACCAGCTGGTTTTTAATCGCTTTATTTTCTTATTTGTCATAATTTATAGCTATATTCAAGCTACTTCTTTCTCTCTTCTATGTACATGATCTTACAAGATCTTTCTTGATCTGACAAGTGAAGTTAATACTTCGACAGCAAAAATATCTTTTATATTAAACGATCATAAAGACAGATTTAATAATGAGTTTCGTGTTCTCAAAACTAAACAGAAGCAATAACTTGATGATTCATTATATGACTTATTTGTAATGACATTTCTTGGTATATACTTTCATTCTATTAGTCTCGTTCATATTCACTGTACAATTTGAAAAGCAAAGAAAATGGTGTAGGTGTGTGGTTGTGCGTGTGGGTATGGATATCAAATTGATGAGAAAAACAATATCCGCACAGATATCAAGTCACACCTTTATGATAGGAGAGGCTTAATAGAAGAAATTGAACAGTTTCACTTATTATTTCCTTCATTTTTAATCGTTCAGACTGCGGAAACATACTGTCATATACAATAGGTTCTCGTTTCTTGGTAATTCTCAAAAAAAATAATAAAAATGAAATCGAAGAAGGTCAATTACAGAAAGGGTGAATCGTGGTTAATAAGAAAGAAAAAGAAAAACAAAAAAAAAGATAATAATAGGGGATATGGATAATACATGAAACAGAATGAATAAGCAATACTTTCAATAACATTCTTAGCAAAAATACACTGTTTTCTAGTCGTTTTCTTTTTGATATATTTCTTTTTTGTTCAATAAGATGAAAAATAATAAAGTTTGTGGAATTGAGTTTGATAAAACATCTTTATGAAATGGATACCATGAATTCTCGAACAGCATCGATAGCTTGTGCACATGCTTTTGGATGAATTCCTGTATCAACAAGAATGTTGTTGATGAAAGAATTTTTTTTCTAAACAACTTCTTACCGGGTAAAGGAAAAAACCTATGAAGAACACCTTTGATAAGTACAAGCTTGTTCTTTACACCAGCTTTATCAAGAAGTTCCTTATATGCTTAAAAAAAAAAATGAATCCAATTTGTATAAAGCGGACATTTTCCCTTGTATATAAAACATGTTCATACTATAACTATCATCTCGAGTTGGATCTAGTTCAGCGACAATCAATAAAGTTGGTGGTAACTGTTCGAGTGATGTATTGCGAAAGACAGATATTCGAGGATCGTTCATATCTAATCCATCACTAAATGCATTCTTGATGCACCTGCAAAAAAAAAGATGAATCAGTCGTGTTTAAATGTCAACTCGAACGTAAACTCTTCATACCAATCAATCAATTCAGGTGTGACAAAATACTGTTGATTAGCAAATTCCTTGAAAGATGGTGTTGCACAAGTGAAATCATACCAACCATAAACGAGAGTCTATTAATTATTATCGAATCAATCATGATCTATTTTTGAACATATAACTAAAATTTATACTTGAAAATCGATATTTTTCACTGTCTGACAAACAGATGTGCTAATCATAGCTCCGGCACTATCGCCTGCCACACCAACCTTAGCTGTTCGATCAACACCTAAATGAATAATCAATATAGTTATTTCGAACAAAGATGTTGATAAATAAAAAAAACCAAAGGATTCTTTATTTTCGATGATATATCGAGTCACATCACATGCATCATTGTACCAAATCGGATATTTATATTCGGGACCTAGACGATATTCAACAGAAATCCAAACAGTCTTTGTGGCACTAAATCATCAACATAGTACTTATTGAATAGACAAGAAAAAAGACGAAACAAAAATAATTTTCATACTCTGCAAGAAGATTAACAATAGTTTGATGCGTTCTTCGACTGCCATAGATCCAAGCTAAATTCAAATAAAATTATCAATCAAAGTTAATCATCAATCATGATCTAACCTCCACCATGAAAGTAAACCACTAATTTATCTTTGTTGGCATTCGTTGGAGTATAAACATTAATTGGTATGTCTAGATATTATTTTTTTTTTCGACAAGAGTGAAAGACATATTTCATTATATTCAAATCTACCGACAGAGTTTGTTGTCACATGTTTCTCTTGAAGGTTACCATTGAATGTTCCAATAAGTTTTTCATTGGCTTTAGCACAGAGATCTTCGAAAAATGTGCGCAATGACTCAGGTGTTAAATCATTCAATGATGATTGAAGCGATGTAAATAATTGAGCGGAGACCTTTGCTTCGTCGGTGAATCGTGGATCCCTAGAATAACAGAGAGAAATACGAACAAATAGTTTTATCATTTGAAAAAAAAGATGCACTTACATTACAAACTGTCTAGAGTGACCTTCTTTTCAAATGAAAGTGATTTAATGTAACCTTAAATTTCAAATGCGAATTTTAACTATATAGCTAAACAAAATTTGTGTTGTTTAATTGTATCTCTATATTTAAATCATCAAAATTCATACTTTTAATGCGATAAAAGCAGCAATATATGAATTACCCTTAATTTAAATATTTTTAATTTAGTTTTCAAATGTAATACATTTTAAAATATATAGATTTGCACTTCTTGCTAAGAAACGAATATTGTGCGTTTTACTTTCTTATGAGTTTTAATACTTCGATATATTTTTATATTTTTTTTTACATATGGAAGTGTGCAATACGATGAAATATATCAAAATATGAACGTACAAAATATGTTGTCTATTCTTGACTTCATTATAAATTTTGAAGAACTCGTCTAATAGCCACTCAAATTAGAAAAGAAATCAATAATATCAGTTATTTCAAGGAAATAGTACAAATATCGAAAAATCATTTATGCTGCCTTATACTTTCTAGTCTGTCTATTACTAATTAGTCAAAAGAATTAAAAGAACATCTTAGTGGAAACAAAATGCTATGTTTACAATATTTAATCTATTCTGGATTAGATTGACGGTAGATCATCGAAAAAAGAACTAGTCTTAACGAGCACACATAATAATTTCTACTAGTTAGAATCACTTGATTTTGACTGATTTCTGATTGTCTGACAGATGGATAGGAGTCACTCTATGATTTAGACTGTATAAACTGACATGAGCCTATCTCTACATCATGGTCTACTGTCAAAACGTCTATCAGATATTGGATAATGTCGGGTTGGATGTTTACTAGATCCACTTTTCGTTTCCTTCTTTATTCGTTGTCTGTTCTACGAACTAGTCTGAACGGGCTGACAGACAAATGGATAAGACATGACATGGTTCAAGGACGTTCGGATCTAGTCCAGACGTGTTTGCCAGACATTTCTTGTCAAGATAACTAGTGTTGACGGGTATAGAATACAATTCAAACGAAACCTGAGTGGTACTGCAAACATTTCGAACTACTTACGTCTTCTGTCATCATTTATTTTTTACTTACTTGAGGTAATAATATTATTCTTGTGATACTCGTTGTATGGTTCTTTACAAACAGCACACTATCGAAGGATGATAAGAGAAAATGAAAGAACGGAGAAAAAAAATACCGTATAGGCCTTTTCTATGTTAACACTCATCATTAATATTTATTGAAGACAGCAGACGAATGCTTTTTCGTTTCTATTTGGAACAGAGCAAAAATAATCAAAATTTATTTTCATTTGATCATAGTTGATGGCAATCGAGGCAATGCGTACGATAGATGAAGTCATAAATTGGTGAATATTTCAGTGAATGAAGATTAAAATAAAAAGCTGCTAAAGAATGATGTAGTTGTGACTAACACCTGACCAGCCAAAAAAAACAAGAGGAAAACAAAAGGTTACATGCATATATTAAAAAACTGTAAACCTATAAATCATCATTTGATACTATGTGCACTTTTCTACTTTAAGCTCAGAAATTTTCTGTATCCACTTGAGACATACAGACACATGTGAGTTGTAATATAAAAAGGTAACATGCATAGAAAACTCTCTTTTTATATCTCTTCGAAGGCAATCATTTAGAGAATGTGAGTGTGGATGTGGGTAAGAGTCTACTGCTCATTCACTTCCACACCCCACACCCACACCCTATCATTCGTCTATTTCAGACATTTTTTTGTTTTTTGGAGGAGGGACAGAGCTCAAACTCTAGAGATCTCCTCTTTCTTCGCTACATTTTGATGCTTAAGGTCTCGTCAAAAAAAAAGTCAATTTTTGTCAGAAATTCCGAAATTGAGATAAATGCATGGGATAATAGCCCGTCTTCAGATCTTTCATAAACAACAAAAATTTTTACTCGACACCTTCTATTTTCCAAAAATTTTATGAAGATTTTTGATATCCTCTATGTGAAAAAATAAGCTGTTTTTACAAAAAACCGAAAGTCTTTTTTGCTTTTTCTTTCGCGCATCCCAAATTTCTCTGTCAATACTCATTCAATGTATTTAATTTTTTTTTGTTTGAAAGAGCGCGTCCAGACGCAGAGCACCAAAGATTTTTTTTTAAATTAAGCTTTGTTTTTATTATATATACAGATACTTATATAATTAGGGCGCCATTTTTTGAGGGTTTTTGAATCATTAAACTTGTGATGTTCTTTCTCCGCTTAAAAAGTAAGAATTTAAAAAAAAAAGAACTCTATGGTACTCTGTATTCTGACGTGCTCTTTCAAACAAAAAAAAATTAAATACATATATAATGAACCTGAACAGAGAAATTTGGGATCCCCAATGAGCGATTTTTGACCCTTGTTTGGTGAATGTCTCTGTCAAACGTCATGATATAGGGCTGAAAATTTTACCATAGTCTTCCCACACCAGTCTCAACATGTCCTGAAAGTTTCATGCAATTTGGATGTTCTTGGCCTGAGATCGGTTTTTGAGGGTGAGCCCTTAAGACCAGAACAATGAATTATAAAATCATGCCGAAACTTGTGAACGCTCTTTATATGTTCTCCATTGTCGAACGAAGGCAACGAGTCTCATTTTGTCGTTTCTCAGTGCATTTTAATGCTCCAGAAAGCGGACAAAATCACATATAACTGCCATTTACGAGCGCCATAATTAATCATTGTTTCACATTGTGGGTGTGGGGTGTGGGTGCGATTATGACGTGATAAGATATACCCACACCCACATCCTTACTGTTGATTGTGAAGTAGTAATTGATGCTTTCTCAATTTTGTCTTTTTTTCGCTCATATAATTTCGCTTAATAAAAGAACATGTTTATTAGATCGATCTTTGGGGATCAAAAAAGTGAGACACTGGATTTACTATAGAGAAAAATTAAGACTAGTGTGGATAGAGCTCTAAACATGGTGGGCTCTGTCCCCCTCCCTTATCCAACTACGAAATCCTTGATACGCCACTACATCTATGATACCTTCCAGTATTATATCTCAACTCTGAACCGGATCATCTAAGAAGATAACAATCGATAATATTACTTTGCTTGTTTTTTATGTCGACATATTAATTATTTCGATAATGACGAATACTTTTCGATGTGAATAACGACCACAAGAGAAAATTTTATTACAATCAGGCATTTTGTTCTTCTTTGTTTATGTCTTAACTAAAGCTGCAGTAATGTTTTCCTTTAGCATTCATCTGTTTATTATAGCAATACAGATATATTCACCATTGTTTATCAATATTTTCTAATGTCATCATCGATATCATTATTATCATTTATCACTCTGCAAAGTGTTTTATTAGAGAATTTCAAAAACTCTTGAATAAGACTTTAACATACAATGAAAATAGCATCAAATCTTGAATGCTCGAAAAATTTTCGTTCTA